AAAAATATTGCAAAAATTTTTCACTCTCTCTCTCTCTCTCTCTCTCTCTCTCTCGCGCGCGCGCGCGCGCGCTAGCTGTGTTAATTGAAATGAGTTTATTATGTTGCAGCCACGACCGCAACAATATTGCAAATACGTTCCGCTTCGATAAATGTTTATTTGACAAACAAAACTATCCGTTCCTCGAAGGAGAAAAATTGGCGACATCAACAATTGCGTAATTATTAATCGTGAGCTGTTGAATAAAATTTGCCGACTGTAATAATACTTCAATCATCTGCACAATAAAAAAATCTTCATGTAAAAAACTATACCGATATCGTAATATGTGTATCGATGAACGTTTAAAAAAATAATTGTCGTTTCGCTTTTGATAATATAATGAAAAACGCTACTTTTTTCTCTTTATCTCTATCTTTCTTTTGCTTTCTGCTTTAAAAATAGTTCAATTTCTAGTTTAGTTTAGCTTTATTTGGGGAAGAAATTAAATTTACATTAGAACTTAAATTATTTATGTTGATATTTAACCTAGTTAGTTAAATTATTGCGTATATTTAAGGTATGTTAAATAATGAAACAAATTTTTCACTATTTTCACTCTATTAGTTCTCCATTCGAAGTTTTTTTAGCACATTATTAAAGAAGCGTGCAAATCAGACGAGCAAGACAAAAATTTTCTTCCCGATTCAATGTATAGAGTTCTCTGAAAGCGAAGCGCAGAGCGCGTGCTCGAATAATAACACGATAAGATATTGAATTTCAGCTTCAGACAGAAGCCAGACTTCAAAGCATCGCTATATCTCTGTTCGCGTTGTAACGAGTCTCGGTCGAATGATTATAAGAAGTAGAAACGGTAAATAATCTGTCTCGACGTTATAATGTTCTTAAATTTTTCTCTTCCGAAAGAAAATGACATCTACAGGATGTCCAACAATTTGCGACTCTAATTTTAATGATTAATTCTCCGTCAAGACTGAAAAGAAAAAAATGACGAGAAAATATGTGATTTCCAATGAAAATATGCGGCCTCAATACGCTAGTCTTCCTGATAGAGTTTAAACTACCCGAAAAATTCACGACTATTCGGACACCTTAATTTCCGACCTGCGCGCTGTGCTTCGTTTCTGAGAGATAGAGTACGGCGTTATCCAAATTACAAATCCGTGCTATTGTTGGTTGCGCGAGGAAAACGCGCGAAATTTTGTGGACGTATTAGAACAAATGTCGCCCTCAGGCAGTTTTATAAGGCCACTGCGCGCGCCCGAGCGGCGTTAATACAGAAATTAAGTTACGGCGAAAATAGCGACGGCGCGCTCGTGCGAAATGTTTTCGCCGACGGAAGCGATAGCTACTTCGCAGGCAGTTCCGAGGAAAAATTGCGATAGCTGTCTCCGGTCCCGGAAACGCACCGAAGTGAAACTGCGATTCTCGCTATAATCAACTGGCGCATTATTGAAATTGTGCCTTTATTACCCTGCCTTTATTACGGCTCGCCTTTTGTTATAAAAATCTACGCTAGTACAATTTTTTTAATTGTATTATGTAAAAAATATTAGACATTACAGATATTTTTATAAAAATATTTAAATTCTAAAAATTCGTGATTTAGAAACTTGAAGATTTGAAGAGATAATTTGCCCGTTAGCAGTCCAAGTTTACTATCTTTCGTATTACTCACGCGTTAATTTAACCGGGGATCTCGACATATTTTCCCAAGGGTGACATTATGTCCGATAACGTTGTTAAGTGGCCAATATCACAGAAACAACTCCGCGTGCGAAAGGAGTTAAAATCTCTGGCAGTCACTCTCCACCGAGGTCGCACGTTCTAATTAGGATTTACCGTCCTTCATAAAACTTGGTCCGGCGACACTCGAAGTCGCTATAACTCTCCATACGAGTCTCCGAGAGTCGCAGGATGAGTAACATAGAGAGAGAGAGAGAGAGAGAGAGAGAGAGAGAGAGAGAGAGAGAGAGAGAGAGAGAGAGAGAGAGAGAGAGAGAGAGAGAGAGAGAGAGAGAGAGAGAGAGAGAGAGAGAGAG